GCCATGCGAAATGAGGGATCCATGATGGACATCCCAGATATTCAAGAGCGATGGGTCGACTCCAAAGAGGAGTACGACGCTGCGGAAGAGAAGGAATGGGAGGAGCAACAGAAGAAAGCCGGCGGCGATACTGGAGCTACGACCCCCGACTTGATTCCCGATGATGATGACGACGAGTTTGATGGGATGCCACCGCCTACAGGAGACAGTGGAATTAAGGTAGTCCGAAAGAACCAATGAAGTTGCCTCAATCGTCAACTATTTCACCCATTTCTATATCGCTATCGTCGTCCTCGACGTTTATCAAGTCCGCCAGGGCAACATCAGACTGCGGTTCAGAGTTGCCAAATATGTTGCTGAGAGGGTCATCAGTCTTCTCTTTGTGGTCGTTTTGTGCCGCGAATATGAGAGCTCGGGCACGACGAACAGCTTCCTCCTCGACTTTGCGCATGGTGCCGCTCACATGAACAACACGGAAGACACATGGTTTGCCGTTCTTGATGGGAATGGAAGTCATAAAAGAGAGGGCAGCCCAGACTAGGCGATATGATGACCGCGAAATTCGCAGAATAAAGGTCGAGGTGGCATGAGAGAAGTATTTCACTAAAATCAATGTAAGCAGTTGTATAAGTCGTGAATCCCTGCGGTGCTGACTCACACCCTAAGCTTCCACCCTCCATGGCTCCTGAGCCATAGTCTCCGAATAAATTGGCAACTTCGGCTCGTATACCTCTTAGGAGGGCTGCCTGGTTAAGTTGATCGGTAGTGGGTTGGTTGATGACTACAACATCAGGGAGATCAGGTCGGCTACCAAGTTCATTTGGGTAGAGGATCTTCACTAGTAGGTACCGCTCCTTAATTCGGACCATTTTGTCTAGTTCGGAGGAACACCCAATTCGTCGTAATTTGAAATTCTCAAGGTTCAATGATAGTACGTTATATCCAACCCTGATGCTTCGCGCGTCTCAAATTAGGGATGAAAAGACCTGAAATGGATGAATATAAGTGGAAGTGAAGAGTAGAAGGCTCGTCTTTCACATTGAGCAGTGAAATTTTAGCTTCGACTTTTGAAGCTTTATCTTATCAGAGCCTAAATGATAGAACCTTATATTTGCATATATGCATAAACTTATCCTGTATAATATAGTTAACGGGGTTCTATCAGAAACCCAAGAAACCTCTTATGACATCAATTTTCTAGAGGGAACAATCTCATGGTTTTCATAGGACTCGACTCTCCAAAACTCATAGAAGCTTCTTTTTCATCTCGAACTATTTATTATTTTCTCCAGTCTGTGTTAAATCATAATGTATTTGAATTCATATCTTCTCATGATGAAGATAAGCTCATATAGGAAACTATAGATATTCTCCCACCCCGCATTTGCGCTGCATAGATGAAGTTTATCTCATTCATCATCACGCATCACGCCGGCTTCTAGATTCCCATGCGTTGAATCTTCCAATATACTGAACACAATTCTTCAAATCCGCTTTCAAGTCTTAGAAACTACTCAATTGAATTCGAATTTATCTTATAACTACCAAGTCTTCTCTAAGCAATCATGTCCAGCCCTACCTTGAGGGTTGCATTACTCATCGTCTCCACGACGGCAGCTAAAGACCCCTCAACTGATGCTTCTCAAGATGTCTTAAGTGAGGTGCTTGAAAGAGAAGGTGACGGAAAGTGGACTCTTACTGACACCAAGATCGTCCCTGATGTGGTCACTCAAATTCAACGGCAGATTATGTTATGGACAGATATTGCCGCAGATACCATCAACCTCATCCTAACCACCGGAGGTACCGGCTTTGCGGTCGCGGATCATACTCCGGAGGCCGTATCAGCTCTACTTCATAAATCTGCACCCGGTATCGTTCATGCCATGCTAGCAGCCTCTCTAAATGTCACACCATGTAAGTACCTGATATGTAGTCCCCTATGTTTAATACGAAGACCACTATTGCTAATATTATTTAGTTGCTATGATGTCTCGTCCGGTCGCAGGTGTTAGGAATAATTCCATAATAATTACATTACCAGGTTCACCAAAAGGAGCTCGAGAAAACTTGCAAGCGATTTTAAAAACATTGCCACATGCATGCCTCCAAGCTGCCGGTATGGACTCAAGGACATTACATGCCGGTGGAGTTAAGAAGCTCGAAGCTGAGGCTGGTTTAAGACCGGCGGGAAGCCACTCACATTCCCATGACCATTCGCACGATCACCATAGTCACGGACACAGTCATGGCTCCGGACATAGTCATGGTCACGGTCACGGTAGTTTAGTCAGACATACAGCACCAAGCGCAAATCCCATGTCTAATGATCCCAGCCTTGGCCCTAGCCGAAGAAACAGGGAGTCCCCGTATCCTATGCTCTCAGTGGATGATGCTTTGGGCAAGATCAAGGAACAAACGCCGCCAGCGGAAATTGTTACCTTAAAAGTTGATAGGTCTCTTCCTGGCCACGTCCTTGTTGAAGATGTCGCGGCGAGAGAAAACGTGCCTGCCTTCAGAGCAAGCATCGTTGATGGCTACGCAGTTGTCGTGCCCAAAGACGGAAATATGAAGGGTGTTTTTCCCGTCGTCTCGATATCGCATGCCGCACCTGGCCAGGTGAAACCTCTAAAAGAAGGGGAAATCGCCCGAATAACGACTGGGGCACCACTTCCTCCAGGAGCTACCTCCGTTATCATGGTTGAGGACACGATTCTGAAGACTATGACTGAGGACGGTAAAGAAGAGAAGGAGGTAGAGATCCTTGCAGATAATGTGCAGGAAGGAGAGAATATCCGCGAGGTTGGTAGCGATATCAAAGCGGGAACTACTATCCTTAGCAAGGGTGAGCAAATTTCAGCCGTTGGTGGTGAAATAGGCCTCCTTGCCGCTGTCGGGGTGGCAGAGGTAAAGGCATACCGCAAGCCCGTTATAGGAGTTCTGTCTACTGGAGACGAAATTGTCCAGCATGATAGGCCCGGCGACTTGCAGTTGGGGGAAGTACGCGACACTAATCGCATCACACTAATGTCCGCCGCGAAGGAATGCGGATATCACGTCCTCGACCTGGGTATCGCAGCAGATAAGCCTGGAACCTTGGAGCAGACACTAAGAGACGCTTTGCGACAAGCTGACTTCATCATTACTACCGGAGGAGTCTCAATGGGCGAGCTTGACCTGTTGAAGCCGACTATCGAAAGATCGCTGGGCGGAACTATTCATTTCGGCCGCGTCGCCATGAAGCCAGGCAAACCAACGACATTCGCCACCGTCCCCGTTAAAAACAACGCCGGCGAACGAGTCACGAAGGTTATATTCTCCCTACCTGGGAATCCTGCATCGGCTATCGTCACGTTCCATCTCTTTGTCCTACCTTCCCTTCACCAGATTTCGGGTATCTCACCGGTTGGTCTGACGAAGATACCAGTCACCTTATCCCACGACTTTTCTTTGGATAAGGTGAGGCCCGAGTACCATCGCGCCATCGTTACGGTGGGTAAAGACGGGACCTTGGTTGCTGCTAGTACAGGTGGGCAACGGAGTTCGAAGGTTGGTAGCTTGAGGGGTGCTAATGCTTTGCTGTGCATGCCGAGTGGCAAGGAGCCGCTTAAGAAAGGAGCGAAGGTTGATGCTCTTATGATGGGCGGCATAAGGGCTGAGATATAAATGATACCTGATCCCTCGCACGATATCACCATGTACCTTATAAGTTAACGCTGCTACCGCTGCCATAAATAGCATTGACCCATTTTGAAATGATTCGTGATTGGAGAACTCGTGGCCCAATATGATAATCCCGTGCATGTTTTCTCGTATTAATATCTGGACTTGTCTTGCTTGCGTACACGCTAGGTATATTAGCCGGCAATGCTGCGTTCTAGACCTATGGTGATGACCTCCCAGCTGGATCCATTTGTGACGTCGCATTTAGGCATTACGACAGCAGGCCTCAATGCTCATGATACATGCCAAGTTATAATTGTTTCTAGGTAACGTATGATGGTTGTCGACCAAGCTATTCGTTGTCGTCGTCAACGGAGATATAAATATCTAACACAATACTCATAGTCATCAATGATCTTCGAATAATTTTCGTAGTTAAGCAACTCTCACCGCAATCCAGTCTTTCGATTGGTCCGCCACCATGAAAGCTTTTGCCACTTCGTTCGTTTTCCCAGCCCTCGCCCTCGCGGCGGTAATCACGAAGAAGGGCGTGCCCGACGGCCCTTGGACTGCCGGAGTCTGGAGACAGCCCGCAACCGACGACGTCTTCTTCAACGGCAACGCCATCAACGCCAGCGGCGGCAAGTTCTACGTCAACAACGGCACGTCCGCCTACTGTCCAGACGAGGTCGAAGGTCTCGACTGCTCCGCCTACCCAGGGTCTAAGACTGTGTTCACGGGAGGCAATGACACTTTATATCTAGACGTCGCGGTGCCTGGTGGCCAACAAGGTAAGTCTGACTAGGTGCCTTTCAGCTCGACAGGTATTATGAATACGTGTTTAACGGCGCGAATCGCAGTTTACATTGCTGCGGACGGCTCGCTGTCGTATACGGTCCCACATTCGGGGGCTCTGCCCGAAGGCGCTAATGCCACGGGCTGGAGGCGCGAGCAGAGCCAATCATTCGGTGCCCCCATCGTTTTGGGAAATAATAACCAGTTTTGGGCCATCTGTCCTGTTACTGAAGGGGAGCCGAGGGAGAGGACGTATCAGGTGTTTGTTGGATTGGGAGGGGAGGGTTGCTTGAATACGGGGGTTAGGACGTATACTTCGTCTGGTCCTGATGCTTGGGAATACGCGTAATGGAAGTTAAGTCCTATTAGACATGTTTCTCTAAATATAGATAATGGATGATAGTTGTTCATTCTACTTGCGAGGCTGAACTGTATTCAGCGCCTACCACAAAAATTATACATGAGCCCCAACTCAATCGATATTAAAGACCAAAAAAAAACAAAGAAAAAGGTGGTACAAGAGGAATTTAACCTCTATACGATGGACTCGCGGGGAATCGAACCCCGGACCACTCCCAAGTCAGTAGGTGAATCCTAGAAACGAAGCTATCGTGAGATAGATCGTCGTCATGGGGTCGTCCATGCTAAGGGAGTATTATACCACTAAACCACAAGCCCGGTCTTGACCCATCTGAATCGTTTGACGGCTCTTGATGAAAATTTGGTAACGCTAGGTCCATTTATAAAACTGAGGCTCGTGGGATAGGTGGGTGACGGGTCCGCGCTGGGACCGCCCTAATTTAGCGAGTGCAGGGAGTCCGCTTCAGTGCCGACCGGTTAGCGATCCGTTCTTGCTAGTCTGTTGGTTTAGTTAGAATTGAAAAATCGACAGCATTCATTTAGATCAAACAACCTATCGCCCGGCCAGGGCGTAGGTTACGAGAAGCTAGGACCATTAGGCGGAATCTATCTCTGATGCTTTCGAATAGCAATCGTTTCTATCTTGGTCGCTTACTGAGGATTAAAAACGGCCTTGTCGTTTACCATATGACCTTGCCTTGCTATCAAAGCCCTGCAACGATCTCTTGCATATTGAGGTTGTTGAGATCTCGATAGCGAAGTTTTTCTCAGTCAGATTTCTAGAAAAAGTCTTCGACGTAATTGACGAATGGAATTATTAGGTCCTCATTACGCGCATCGCAGGGAAAAGATAGCGTTTGCTTACAAGGTCTACTTGTAGGCTTCTCGAAAAACAAAAGAGGCTGTGGCTTCTGAGCCACGTCAAATAATCGGCACATTTCTCGGCATACTCAAGTAGGTACCAACTTTAATATGTGCCGTTCCGTCCACTCCAAGTGTGCTAAGCTTACTACCGTCGGAATCCGTCTGTATGTGGGCTTTGGTTGGCCGCGTCTTTAGTGGGCTCTGCCCGGTTCCGAAGGATAGGTACTATTGTGGCGTGAGGGGAGCGCTCTTATTCGCGTGAGACAGGCAAAACGCCTCGCAAGATATCACTACATTACCCTGCCTTACCCTTTCGAGATGATTGGAGGATAACCTGTCCGGTGTGTTACTATACTTCATGCGGGTAAGACCATGATTCGTTATCGAGCAAATGATCTTCGCTGCGGACATTACACAAGAGGGGCCATCACATTATAGCGCCCTTCGTGCTATATTCGTGATGATACTGAGGGTAGCATGAAGAAGAGCCTCATGTGGAGTCCATGGTGGGAGCCCAGAATCATAAATAGCTTGTCAAGGCAGATTTTGGGGGCGGAACAAGTTTGCCATGCTCTGAAATACTCAGCTACTCAAGTCGAAAAAAAGCACTTTATCACGCAATCATATAACCGATAATGCCTGTGAGAGACACCGTTCTGACATATCGCCTCCGACCTCAGGCTCTCAGGGACTATCTGAGGCAGATTTTTGGCCAAGAGATTCTCGTTTCTGTAAGACCTATGGCATATGTACGTACAGTGGCTGAGATCAAGGCTAACTAGAAAGGTAGACGGCTGCCGACGGCCGATCGTTCTATCATTTCAACGTACCACGCAAGCTTCGTCCAGTAAGATGTGATGCCAATTATAATCTCACCATTAACATATTCTTATCGTGCATTTAGGAAGAAAAGGAGTATATCTACAGACATCTCCGTTACGGCGAAGATGAAGATTGGTAACTGATGGCAAGGCGTTCTTGGGTCAGATCTACACATTGGTACCTAGGACCTAGGTATTACCTACCTACTAGGTAGTGATTCACGATTGGCAAATACGATCCATCCGATTCAGTGTAACTAGGGTGACTTGAGAGGGGCAGAGAGGGGAACAACCGCCTCGTGATTTCATTGGTCCGATTCAGTATGGAAGATCTTGACGCTTTTATGTGGGCTGAGTGTAAGATGATAGGAGGCCTGTTGCATGGAGGCAGTGTAACGCAAACACAGCTGAACGAATGCTTCGTTCAATACAAAATGCAACACACTTTTTCCACTTCGTCCTCTATCTTGACCTCTACTTTAGCGGTGCATTCTAGTTATATGGCGTCCTGGATCCGTTTCCCTGTCCCGAATTGAACAAGTCGATACCGTACATAGAATTAAGATCACACTGTCTAGGTAGTTATCATGGCTGTACAGAGCATTTTTGATCAAGCAGTACGGTTTGACGAATCTATGAGAAACACTCTGGATTATCCTGTAAACCTTCTCAGAACGGAAGCATTCAGCCACACACTTGAATCTTATCGCAGACGACTCAATAGCACCAACCTATTCGACCCGACATATCGATCACTGGCCTGTGTTAATCTTTACGAAAAATTCGATTTAGTAAAGAATATCGACATAAGAGACCATTTAGACGAAGACGATGGTACTCCGCTATGGCGGATGGTGTATGAACATTGTGTTGCCTACCTAATTATTGCTCTTAGCTAATGGATATATAGATTTATCGAGTCTTCAACATCCCGAGGTCCGCTGGGATGCAGTAAAGAGCAGCTCACTTATTTACTTACATATTATCAAGTAATGCCTTCTTTTCTCGACTTCGTGCTGAGTTTCAGCGTTCGAGAGAGCCCCGTCGCACACGCCTCATTTAGGCACGAGAACTATCTGGAAAAGAATAGCCAAGAACTTGCTCTGCCGGAGCTCAAGCGATCCGGAATTCAGATACAGCATGCATTCAATCTCTTATCTATAGAGCGAACTAGCTATGCAGATGAGAAGAATCAATGGCCTCTCCGTCAAGTTGCGATGTATCACTCTTTCGACGTCACCAACGGACGATCCCTCTGGATCATCCTTAAGGGTAATAAACTAATGGCACGACGCATTCGGTCCGCCACCGAAAACCACAGACATTTGAAGGCAGCAGAAATTAAAAGTCCTGAAACATCGTTTGTCGGCGGGCTGCAAGTACATATGATGACGATGGAATGGTGCTCTGAGAACTGGGCCGAGTATATTGACTATCTCGAAGCAGAGGTTGCTTCAATCTCGGTTGAAGGAAAAGCCGCACCAGTTGAAAGGATGACCAGCACAGCAGAAATTCAATCAATGCATGCCCCAAGGTCTACTAATACTTGGGGAAGCCAGGCGGGTAGCTCTATGAATAACCCCAAACAACGAACATTCATTCGCGCTTCGTCGGACCTGATGTCGATTTTCCGGCGAATGTCCGGACTTGAAAGCGGTACGCCCACCTTCCCAAGAGATGAACCAAGCGAAAAAGACGTCGAAGCAACGGCTGGTGTAGTAGAACAAGAAAAGAATAAAGGTGATAAGCTTTCTGACCTTGAGAAGGAGTTCACCTTCGAGAAATTCCAGAAGTTAAGCCTTCTAGGCCAAGATATAGAGCAAGCACTGGTAGTCATCGAACAGAACAAGGGGGTTCTTAAGGCCATCGAAGAACATTACCGCTCAGTCGTTGAGTCGTACGGTTTTACGACTTACATGAAGAGGGATCTCTACGAGACCGACTTAGCGACTTTCCTCACTAAATCACGAAGTATCCAAAGGGACTTAGATATACATTATGGCCGTTTACTAACCTTGTCCCGGGCACTCGAAAATGCCAAGACAGTGGTATGTGGAATGCTCCTTTGAGTCTACCGATCCGACCAATTAACAATGCATCTCTACAGTTTACTACACTCCTACAGTTCAAGAGCGGGAGAGTATCGGAATTTTTCGCAGGCAGCGCGAAAACGTCGTCTGATCGAATGGAGTTAATGACACAGAAAATGCACGGCATCGCTATCCGAACGGAGCAAGAAACAGTTTCTATGCATGTTATTACTATATTTACGCTTATATTCCTTCCGGGGACGTTTATTGCTGTATGGACTAAGTATCCACGGCTGTATCCACACCTTCTGACATCGACACAGACCCTATTCAGCAGCGGCGTTTTCAATTGGAACGACGACGGGAAGCTTGGGTCCGATTGGGTTATCCGACGGAGTGCTCTGAGATTATTTTTCTCTGTATCTTTACCTATGATGGTAATTATTCTATCGGCCTGGTCCGTGTTATATTTTTATATGCGACGCAAACGACAGCAAGAAGAGAAGAAATGGATGTTACCAATGACCGAAGAACAGCCAGCTGCAGAAAACAGCGTGCATGGCGAACCTTCTACTCCTAATAATGAAGCTACGACGGTTGGATGAATACCACGAGTACGATTTTGCATTTCTTGAAATATCCTCATAAAAAAAGGGGGAAAGGGGCTCTTTAGAGTTTATGAAGCCGGACTACAGCACGGCTATATATGGAGCTACCCGCGAATAGCTCCGGTTCCTCGGGATCGGGAGTGGGGCATTTTGGCGGACTCATTATGAAGGATCACATAGCTGAATAAACCAATGAGTTATTTTTACTTTATCACAAATGTAACAGCTGACCACCGTGACATTCGGTGTGCAAGAACTTACAGGGGAATGCCAATGTTGCATGTATTGATTTCGAGTCATCCATTCCTACTAGGATTACCCAAGGTGGCGAAACACGTGAAAGTCACAGTTCGATAAGATAGGTGAAATTACCTCCGACGATATCCGCGACAAAGTATTAGGGGACCTGAAGCTTCAAACTCCAAACGTAAACTTCCCGAATACATCAATTTGCTATTAACAGCAAACAGGATCCATAATCTGGACTGATTATACCGACAGTTCCAAAAACCAGACCACTTCCATTCGAATTGTCAGCACAGGAGGGAGATCTGAAATATTATAGACATCGATGATATTTGTAGGTATTTGTCAGAAATGTCAGAATGGCCCCCCAATGCGAATTCCCCTGCATTTCAGCGCGGGGTCACTTCCGTGTCGGTCGTCCTACTACTAGGTACAGCACTTACCAATGGTTCGCGCCCAGTATAACGATATAGAGCCCCCAAGGCAACCCGCCCTAGTGGCTGCGGCTGACTGGATACTCCCTGCGATACTATGCGATACTACCTGTGAGAAGCACTGCGATACTGATAAAAGCTGCGTACCTGGGTGATTAGGCTTATAGCAAGGTTGAAGAAGAGAAAAGCACCTGAGCGATTGTCCGGTTGCCTCAGGATTTGCCTAGTTCTCATCCATCTCTTGTGTTAGAGACCGTTAACCAGTAATGACAGCCATTGCTTTTTTCCGCATCTACAAGTACAGCATAAACCATT